TGGATAGCTTCATAGAAACAGATCTCTATACTAAACCTACTGACAAACACCAGTATTTACTTATTCATTCTGTCACCTTAGCAAGCGCTCTATTCTTTATACACCCTTTCACTTCTCCTTCGCCGCATTTGCTCTAACCAAGACAGTTACATATGACGTACTAATGAACTTAAAGACTGCCTTACTAATCGCGGTTAAAACAATACAACGGGCTTCTGACGTTCTTCCTCGTACTGACGCACTAAAAAACAAACCTAAGAAACGGACTGCTACCACACCCCTCGTCATTACATAAACTCTAGCATTGCCCACTATTGCGCGCATCATTCACAAACACTCGATTTAGCTTACTCTTAACTCAAGACATCCGATTGTTGCAGAAATGTTTTTAAAAACCTTCCGTTTTCGGCTGCCGGCGTTATTAAAAAAAAAAAAAGAAAATAGAGACATCCTTGTAGCCCAGCTCACAGACTGCTGCCGGTTCTTTTCGGTGCCTGAATAGCAGGAACCACCTGTCCCAAACGGCACCCGTTGACTAACTCAGTCTAGATGCAGCTCTAGTCGTACCTCACAATCTGAGTATCGTGAATTAAAAGAGCTACTTCTAAATTTTATTTAGGGGCTGACCAATAACTTGGCAAAGGGATGTGGAGGAGGGTTCGGAGATGTAGATTGGAAAAATTCTTTTCCAAACCTGCTGCTGTGATCGATCTTGATGCATAATGAATTTTCTTAGCTTTAACATAAGACTTGTAGCTTGTTGGGAAAGTTTTTTTGGAAATACTTTTTTCTTCATCACACAGCTCCTCCCTCAGAACGTAAATAGAATGCTCCTAAAGTAAAGTAGCCAGGATTTAAACAGTTCCTGTCAGGGGTTGGCAATTAATCATATTACAGTTAGTTGCTTTTGCTTTTAGTATATAAGCGGAAGCTTCGCTTTTAGCCTTGGCTAAATCTATTAACCCTCGGACGTACAAGGGGTGAGGTGGATGCCCCCCAAGGTTTTTCTGTTTTTTTTTTTCCTAGAGAATAAAACATCACTCCTGATGTTTCATTAGCTGTTCGTTCATCCCTAGCGCGCATTTTGAGTCAAGTTCAGTGATGGTCAGTTTCTAGGGTTACGAGATTTGACGTCATAAGTAGGAGGTGGTCAAGCCATTTTTGAGTGAAGTTAAATGTTTTTTCAACTTTTTTCAACAATAAAACTAAATCTTGTGGCTAAAATCATTCAAAGTGCTTATTTATGTGTTATTTTTTCATGTCAAGCAAAAATTCACCATTTCTCGTTGTTTTAACCTGATTTCTGATCCTTGGTAAAATCTAAGATGGCGGCCTAGATGGCGGCCTAGATTGCGACCATTGTTGGTGACATCACATGCCCCCAGCAGCGCCACCACCCATAAAATATACCTTATCTTGTAGAGAAGATCAAAGGCTTTCCACTGAAGGTAAAATCGTTTCGGAATACTCCAACATATCAAAACCTCTAGGACGGGTTCCATCCACCCCCGTCTCCCCCTTGTTCCACGGTGGGGGGATGAATTTGCGTGTACGTCCGAGTGTTAATATTAAAGTCCTCATAAGTAGGACGATAGTCAAATGGTGAGGTACGACTAGACCTGCCCCTGGACTGAGTTGGTCAACCGGTGCTACCAAGGCAACGACTCAAAGACAAAGTAAGCCAGGGCAAACTCCGTCAACATCCTAGCGCTGATTCATAGCGACTTTTGTATAGCTTGTTGTTGTCTTTTTTCGTGTTGCATGAAAATTGATCAAGTTTTAAAAGGAAGGCTAAATGGTACGAGAAAAGCACAAAACGAAAAGTTAATTACACGCGCTCTTTGAGACTGGGAGTTCTAAAGTGGAACTATTACAATCTCCAGAGTGGAAATTTTTGAATAGTAACGCTTTGAATCCGAAATAGTGTGGATGCTAAAAAAAAAGGATAGCAGTAGTTATTTTCAAAGACATGATGCAACGAACTGTTTTTTTATTTTTTTTATTTTTTTTATTTCGCACACACAAACAATTACAGTACATTACATTTACAATTCATTACAGGTAACGTTATCGTTTACAAAAAAGAAATAAATAGAAAAAGAAAGACAAAGTCCACAAAAAATATCTATAGTTTATATATTAATAATTAAGAGAAGGCTGCCTGCCTTGTGGTCTTCCATCACCCAGCTGCCCGTTTCTCACTAAAAAAACGAACCATTTTTACTAAAACAACGTAGGTTCTTTGCTTAGTTTCATGTGTTTTATGCTAAGACACTTAGTGTTCCTGAACCTTTCGAAGGAATGAGCACTTTAAAAAAGAAAACCTGCATCTGACCGGGATGGTTTTAACTTTGAATAATCAATAATATATGCAAAGCGGGCAACCCAAGCGACCCAAATAATTTCTATTGCTTCTCTCTATTCTAATTCGCAAATTAACATTAAAAGAGAAGGATTTTTTGTCTCCCTTTATTTGTGCTTAACAATATATTTTACATTTTTCCTCCGACTAATGGTGTGTGCACAAATGTGACTTAAATAGTACTGGAAGTCAATAGTAAAGATGCTAGACTTTATCAGTATTTGAAGTAAACAGTATAGTTACCATAGTGTAATAATAGTACGATTTCAATTTATATTCACTGCATAATCGTCCTTTAACATAGAGATAATGAACCATAACTTATGCTAAAAGCATTGGATGAAAATAACATGAATAACATCACATGCCTCGGTATTAACTGCTCTGCCTCGTGTGCAGGCTTTTTCAAGGTTCTTAATGAAAGATGGGAAGGTAAACCATTCGCTATTTTTTTCTTCCCTTTCCGTTTCCTCCTTTGTCTCGCTTACTTGACAATTCAGCTTAAATACCCCGAAAACTATCTCGAGCGACTGCGGACGAGGCAGGTAAATTGGATCTGAAAATGTAATGTAGTAACATTTTTAGGGGCAGACATTTAAACAAACGACGGCGGAATACGTCTTCAATGCAAATAAAATAATATCAGGGATTATTATATTTCTAAACAAATTCAAGGTGTTTCAATACAGTTTTTTGGAGACCGTACCGATATTTTTCGATTTTATCCTTGTCCGATCACTATAAAATTTTTACCAGTGATTGGTCAGAATTGAAATTTGTCAAAATGCAGTTTTAAGTAAAATCAAAATCATTATGACAACAATAAAAAAAAAAAACACAAACAAACAAACAAACAAAAGAAAAAAGCCGACTTTTGCGCGATCTAGACCTGCTACTGAAAATCCGACGCAAGGAACTTGAAGTGTGGTTGTAGCAAATAGCCTCCGTGAGAAATATTTAAAAAAATGTGCATATTTGAATTCAAATTAAACGTAAATATGTTTCAAACCTTACACTTTCCATAGCCTTGGTAAATTATTTTATAAAAAAATGCTCTAAATAACTCAATTTAACCTTAAGTAGCGTCAGAATGCTGCTTAACATCTGAATTTCGCTGCTTAGAAACTTTGGCGTATTTCTTTCTTGCGATCCTGAAAGCCAACCTGTTTTCTCAGTGCATTTTCAGTGTGAATAAAAACTGTATCAAAACAGCCTATGTAAGTGATGAAAATGCAAAATGACATCAGATGAATATCTGATGGCATGGAATAAATACTGTGGCAAGTTATATTGATAATTATCACTAAACTGAACAAATTGTTGGGATAATATAAATATTTGCTAAACTATATATTAAAAATCTATTAACTACACCAAAGTCAATGACAAACGATAGCAGGGAAAATTCTATGTTGAGATTTCAACCCTTTGCGTTACGTCTGCAAATACAGATAAAGAATGAGAGTTGACAAGAAGGCAATAAAAAACCTCTCCTCAAAACAAGGGGCAGGAACGCGCGACGAAGCCCCATTAACCATCCCAAGCCCCTTGTAGAAGAGGCTTGATTATTGTACTTTGTGGGCTTATCTTTCTAATGTAGTGTATCATTTCTTAAAGTGCCCATAGACTAAACATTTCTATTTTTTAATTAAAAGTACACATTACTATAAGAGCCTCGCCGAAAAAATCACATGTTTTGCGATTTGAACACAATGTGATTTTTTGAAATGCGAAACGTTCAAGTTTACTACCACTCTGGCACATAAATTAACCTTCTTTTGGAAGCCTCCTGGAAAAAAAGGAGCTGTGACATAGATTAAAGAAACTATGTCGTAAACAAAGGAACACTTGACTTTAGATACAGGTAAACAAGTGTAGAGTTCTCACTAGAAAAATTTCTTTCTTTAAACTGAAATTAACAGCTGTTAAAAAGGTGAAACATGCTTGTAAGATGTGTCGCAAGGAGATTTGCAACAACTCTGGCGACTCTAAGAAAGCAAGCACCCTCTGGCACAAAGGGTATCCTGTGTGTGGTTGTGTTTTACTCATGATTTATAGAGCAGAATGTTAAGTATTTTTTATCATATTTGTGATCATGTGTTAAGTTACTCGAGCGATTACGGTGTTGTGATAAGCTGTACATGCTCCGTTTTAAGGGTTGATCTGCAACAGTTGCCTGAGCAAGAAAAGTATATGGTAGCGTACGTTACTAAATCCGGAGCCTGTATAAAATAAGCTATAGGCAAGCAATTCAGTAATAAACCATTCTAACTACAGATTCAGACAATTAAGTTTTTAGAGTTAGAAGGCTGACGTTGGGCTTTTCTATGAAGATTCCTTTTAGAGCGGTTTTCACTTGACTGTCGTAAAACCAAAACCAAAGTAAATACACTAGCCAACCAAAGGGCGTAGTAAAACCAAAACCAAAACCAAAACCAATCCCTTTCGACAGTCAAGTGAAAACCGCTCTAGCAGGTATTTGTATTTCCTAATTCAAGAAATTAATTCTGTTCTATTGATAGAAAAAGAAAAGAAAGAAAGAAAGAAAGAGAAACTGAAAAGGAATTAATTGGAAGTCTGAGTTATATTAAATGCACCGCTTCACTTTCAGTTGAACTCAGTTCGTATTATCTTGCATTTAGGGGGATGGGTCAAGATGAAATACCTCCACCTCATCAGGTGAGAAGTTAACATGTTTCCCGGTCAGGATTGTGGTGCCTTTGTCCTTCACTGAAGCTGGAACAGAGTAGTATTTGCCCAAGCGTGCTTCTGAGTAGCGTTTTCTCCCTTCTTCAACATCAAGGACGAGGTCCTGACCAAAGTTTGGACCATAATATGAACTCCTCTCAATTGCCTTGTCTGCCTTTTCTGGCTTCACCTTGCTAACAAATGGTGCCAGCCCTTCACTATTGTTGAGGGAAAAAATAAACGCTTCGGAAGTAGCGCCATGGCCGCCACTGGATTCTAATAAAACAAAAATAAAACATAAAATAGGACTTTCAAATAACATTTTTGTTACCATGTATATTTTTCTTGCAGAAGCCAGTAAAATAGCCTATTTGTACGAGGATGTCATTTTTTTTGTATGTTAATCTGATTATTTTTAATACAAGAAATTCGTTTATCGTGACATCTCGCGAAGGCGTAAATGGGCAGCAGTACGAAAATAGATAGAAAAAAAATATTGTTAAAAAGCAAAACAAAACGGGGGAAGAATTATAATATTATTTAAAGCTTTTCGCCGTAAAATTCTGTTGGTAGACGCTGTCAGAAGCCGTTGGAGCCGTATTTATCAAGAATTCAAAGTTACTCTATTTAAATTAAACTTTATAAGAATTTACTTATCAAACCGCCAATTTAGCAATTTCATCTGCTACATATAATAATGCTTGGCATTGTTGATCCATGAAAGCGCTGAAAAAAGTTATAAACGTTTTCCAGTCAACCCAGATAAGATTAGTTTAGATATATTTTTTCGCTGTTTTGAGGGGACGGACTAAAAAGTTTGTACCCCTCGAGCAGAGGCCCATCGATCTTCCTGGATAAGTCGCGAAGATCGAGGGGCCTCTGCTCGCAGGGTAAAAAGTTTGTCTTACACGATTTAAATACTTGAAAGGTTTATTTATAACTTTTGAGGCCGAGCGGCTAATTCCGTTTTTTTAGCCTTCCCATCGCGTTGTTTCCTTCTAACGGACAAAGCTGCGTAAATCGAACTGAATCAGTGCATGAAATCTTGCTTTGTTTTGCGTGAAACTCTTCAATATGTATCGGTTTATTTCAAAGAACTTCACAAACCAGGAATTGATATGGCAGTTGGCCGACAACATGCAGAGCGGCGGCAGCTGTGTTGTCTGTAAACGGCGTAAGTCGACGTCCTTGGTGCAAATAATCTAATGTACGTTTTTTCTAATCTTGATACCTTTTCTGTCTAGGCTTAAATAACATGAAGAAAACAAAGTTTATGTTATTTAAGCCTAGACAGAAAAGGTATCATTTTCCAATGCAAATATGCATAAATGAACAGAGAATCGAACAGGTTAAGGAAGCGGTCTTCCTCGGTGTAGTCCTTGATGAACATCTGTCTTGGAAACCACACATTTCTCAAGTAGCTGGTAAAATCTCGAAATAAATAGGTGTCATTAATAGAGCAAGATTTTTTCTACCTAAGCCGTGTCTAAAAACTCTTTATTATTGTTTAGTTTAACCTTATCTTCATTATTGTATTATTGTCTGGGGATCTACGTTCAAAACCAATCTTCGCCGTCTCGTCTCTTTGCAAAAGCGAGTTATCAGAATTATTTCTAAATCAACTTTCGATTCTCATTCAGACCCTATTTTCAAAGAATTAGGGCTACTAAAACTTTCCGATATTAAACAACTAGAATTGGGTAAACTTATGTTTTCTCTTAACCATTCTCTTTTGCCCTCAAAGTTCAACAATTATCTTTCTTTAAACAAACAAGTCCATAGCTATGCCACAAGACACGCGAACGATTTTCACCTTCCCTTTTGTAGAACAAACCTTCGTAAATTTTCTGTCAGTTTCCAAGGACCTACTCATTATAACTCTATAGAAAATGATATTAAAGAATCTAATTCTCTCCACTTATTCAAAACGAAATTGAAAAAGAAAAAATATTTATGAATTATTAGCTACAAATCTTGTAGCAAATAGTTATATTTCTTCAGATGTCTGATATTAGTTTTATACTTATTGTTACATGTACCATACCTTATATTTTGTCAACTCAGTCTATGTAATTAGTTAATTTATACTTACCTTCATTGTATTTTACTTTCCATCCTGGCCTTACTGTTACTGTTAACTTTATTTTTACTCTGAGGGAGCCCAATTTCTATAAGCCTCTTGGTTTCTTTTTGGGCTTCCTCGCCACTTTCATTTGCTTTTGTGTGACTGTCTTGTTTTATCGTTATTTGTATTTTGTGGTAAATCAAATAAAGTTACAAAGTTACAAAGTTACAAAGTAACATTGGAGCAATCTTATCGCTTGTTTTAGATGTCTCTTATAGCAGAAATCCCTTTCACAATTGCGGCCTTTTAATATATTATTTGATATGAGTGAAAATTAGAAAAGAATTCTTACTTATTTTACTTATTATTTTCTGCCATTATTGTAACTATTGTTAAAGTTACAGCCTTTTTAGATTTCTGTTTACGCTATAAACATTTCTATTGAAGTAATATGAAAGTTCGAGTATGATGGCCAAGCGAACTATTCAGTTTTCTAGTTGGCCACCATAACAGTGTAAAAAATATGCAGGCGAGGAGCCAGAAAGAGCAAAAATAAATAGGTAAATAAATAATAAAATAATAGAACAGAAAATAATTTAATAATTAATTACAAGAAAATAAATTAAATTAATTAAAAGAATAAATAAATGGGTCGCTAATATATTATGAAAGAGGTCTATTGTCCTACTGTAGACTACAATACGAGTACTATTATTGAAATCATTTTACAGTTACCATGGTAACAAGGCATAACTTTAAACGTTTTTCTTTTAAATTTGTGTTTTGACTTGTTGAGGTGTCAGTGAACTACACTGATCCACAACACTAAAGAACTGTACAATAATTAGCAGGAGTGGGGCTTGCAAAACCAGAGGGGCAGGGGTAGGGGGGGGGGGGGGGGGGTGCAGGGGCACAATGTAAATTCATAGCCCAAAGGAGCGGGTTAAGAAGGAGGGTTGTATTTAATTTTCATGTGAACAAGCTGTCTCACTAACAATAATACTCATTGTAAGGGTGATTTGGTATGAACAAAACATGATTTTTTTGTGATCAAAATAATAATTGTCAATAAGTAGTACCAAAGCCATGAACAATCCTGGTTACATGATATTTCAGCGTATTTCTACTCAACAGAAAATGGGTGTATCCAAAGCTTTAAAAAGGGGTTGTCTAGTCATGAGACAAAAGTAACTAAGAGATGTTGTGTCCGCTCTATAGTAATTAATTACGTTAAAATGTAAAAACATTTTCAGTCAAAAGGAAGTGCCAGATGAACCTCAGCAAATATGAAAATTTTGTGAATAGCGGCATACGGGGACAACCCCCTGTTCGATCACATGACAAACATGACGAAAGCATGACGCTAAAACGGGTCGAGGAGGGAAAGAGATACTAGTGCCTCGCGTTCTGAGTTTTGTTCGTACTGGTCATAACTCAACCAGAAATCGAAAGTAATGACGCAAATGACTCAAAGCGTCAATCCAGGGATTCACAGGAGGATTCAAAAGACGTTGCTTAACGCGAATGTTCTGAATTGGTTGGCTTTGCCTCGCTGCGTGTCAGTCAGAATGAATGTCAGTGTATTCTCCAAAGGCCCATGGGCTGTTCTTAATGACGGATATAGCTAGTATTTCTTTTCCTATCACATCGCGTAACCTTGCGATGGAATATCATTTTATCCAAAGGGAAGGAAGCATAACTATTGATCGCTTCATGTTAATGGAAACCTTTATTTAACGCATGACCCAACCTCGGATGGGCCACTTTGCTCGAATGCAGAATCTACCTTTTTACTTTAAGAATTAAGCCTCGCGTTTATACGGGGCGCCGTTTTATAAATAATGTAGCTCCGTTGCGACAAAAAAAAAAAAAAAACTTGCCAATTCAATGTAGCCGGTAAAGTGGGTTTAAGTTGAATCTATACTTAGAATGTTGTCATTTGAACGGGTGAAATGTAGAGAGCTTAAGTATAGTGTAAAAGGCGTACCGAGGCGTATGTCTCTGACGAATAATTCACCATTTAGGAAATCGTATTTCTCGCTTTCTATTTAAGCATTACCCTATTGTAAAGTACAGTTAATGCTAGTATTATTGCTGGAATCATATTGCAGTTACGAGGAACAACTGCAGGAGTATTTAACGGGTCAGTGAAACACCCGTGGCACTAAAGCCCTTTTAAAGATACCTAAAAATCAATATCAAATCTTACCCCAAGGAATGTCAGTGTATCCTCCAAAGACATATTGACCTGTCTGTACGATGGTCACGGTATTTCCTCTACCGTCGCATCTATCATGGAAGGTCTTGGTTTTCCAACCATGTGAGGTTGCACGGTAGCAAAGAAGCCAGGAAGAATCCTCCCCAACCTGAGGAGCGCTAGCAAGAAAACGGTGAAGATGTCGGAGGTAATACTGATTTCCGTGTAATATTGTTGAGTTTATTGAAAATTCTGAAAATTGAAACACATGGATGATACAAAAAGGTTAATTTGGATGAGAAAATATAACGGTCAGGGAATCTATCCTTATATCTGCGTACCTTGCCACAGCCTCATTTTACTCATGTCCTGTTTGTAGATTAGATAGAAAGGCAGGTAGGTGGTATAATGAATGTACGACAAATGAATGGATGGCTGGATGGATGACTAATCTTTCTTCAAAAAAAAAAAAAAATGGTGCATGCATGCATATTAGAATAATAATGAACAAAATGAAAGCGGAAGATAGCATTAAAAACAAAACCAGTCAAAACAAATAGAAAAAGACCATTAACTCCATAACAAACAGGCATAGCAGCAAAGCCACGCGACAATTCCGAAATGAGCGAGAACGTGAAAGTGAGTAATAGCACGGTTCTGCTAAGGTATATCTCTTCTTTTCTCTTGTTCTCTTTGCTCAAACGCGAGGTAAAACCAGAAACTCATAAGGGTTTCTGGTAAAACTGAACACATTTTTTTTATGGGATAATCGTGGACGGAAGGATGAAATAAAGGGTTTGACGGACTGATAGGTAGATTAATACCAATCCTTTTTAGGGT